TAATAAAGTATATAATTTGAGATCATAAGACACAAAGACCTTTTCTCTATAACTTATAATTGAATAGAAAAAGTGAAATAATTCATATAATTATATATAACCGAAATCGGTATTAGTAAGCTCTGTATAGAAGATACATAGAAGCTAGCTCCATAGAGCTATAGGACATACTATTTAAATAAGCATATTGGAAATCATATATATATAATAACCGATATCCCTGCATCGTGCACGACCCTGTATCTTGCACGCTTTAATTTATTGAATTAAAAATTGATTATAAATCCAAAACTGCTTATAATAATATTAAAATTTATAAAAAACAGATTGAAGATCAGCTAAATATAATAATAAGTTTTTGATAAATTTGAAATATCAAATAGAATATTAATTGATTTTAAAAAATAATATTTTAAGATATTAATAATTTAATATAAATTTATATTAGAATAAATTTATATTATTAAAATAAAGTTTTTTGAATTAATTTATATTATTATTATTGAAAAAAAGCTTGAAATTCTGAAAAATATAAAAAATTAAGTTTTAAATATAATTTCAAAAATATGTATAATATTCAAAAAATAAAAAGAATTTAAAAATTCTTTTTAAAAATATTTTAAAATGTTTTTTTATAGATTTTAAGAATTTGAAATTATTATTGGATTTTAATTAGAAAATAGAATTTTTATATATTAGAAAATATATAATATAATAATAATAAAATTATAAAAAAATAATAAATAATTAAAACTATAACTTATTATATTATAAGTTAATATATAAAACGACAAAATAAGAAATGAAATAAAATATTCTAATTTTTTAATAAATAAATCTATTATTTTTTTAAAAAACTAAAAAAATATTATAAATCTATTTTTAAAAGAATTTATTTTTTAAAAAAAATCCTCAAATTTTATAATATTTCTAATAATTTTACAGATTAAATATAATTATAATTTAATATTATAATATATTCTGTTTTTTATTAATATTCAAATTAATTCTATTTTTAAATTTTTTTAAAAAAAAATCTTTTTTAGAAATATCTTATTATTAATTATATAATCCTAATATTTAATTTTATAATTTTTTTAATAATTGATAATATATATATATATTTAATAAAATATAATTATTTTTAGTATTCTAATCAAAATTAATCTATTAATAATATTATATAATTAAAAAAAATCAAAAATCATCATAAAATACTTGATTTATAATCAATTTTTTTTAAAAGAAAAAATTATTTATAAAAACTTAAATAATATATTGATATAATATCAAACTTATAATATAAAAACTTGATTTTTTTATTTCTTTATATTAAAATATATTCAAATTTATAAAAAAGAAATTGAAAATCAATTTTCGCTATTTCTATTAATAAATAAATTAATATATAATATTCTTGTATTAATAATTTTAATATTGAAATTATATTATATATAATAATTATTTTTATATTTTGATTACTTTATAAGAAATAAATAATAATATAATATATTATATATAATTATTAATAGAACTCAATGATTGATTAATTATATATTGAATTTAGAATATCTTTTTTAAAAGAAATAAAAGTGTGCACGATATAGGGGCGTGCACGATGTAGGGATATCGGTTACTAAGCAGTATGCTAGTAACAATATCCTTTTTCTATTCCAACAAATATAGATTTGATATAAATTGAGTATATATTTGAGTGATATTTCGAATATATATATTTGTATTATTTTTTCAAGCATTTATAATTAATGATATTAAAATGTATTAATACAATCATTAAATTATCAATGATTATATTAAAATAATTGTTTTATTGATATTATTATATACTTGAATAATTAGTTTTAATTTATAAAACTTGATATTTATACCTTCGTTTTTGATCTCATCAATAAATCAGGATTTAAAAATACATATACTTAAAGAAATATTTAATAATAATATAATTTTGAATATACCCTTAATTATTAGTCCATTAATCTCTTTTTTTCTAAGTTCTTTATATTAATTAGATTCTTGAGATCAATAACAAAATAATCAGAAGTTTGATTTTATATATAAACTCGAATTTGAAATATAATTATTCATAAAAAAGATATTGATATAAATATCTGATTGTTTTTGAATAAATTCAAAAAAGACTTCTTAGGATTTATAATACATATAATTATTATATTAAAAACAAGTAATTTAACTTTACTAGATTTTGACAAAGTTATCTCATATTCATTAGAATGATTTAAAACATAATCAATTTGATTAATTAAATTAATTTAATAATAAGACTTCACTAATATAAATCTGAATCTTGTAGGTTTATAAGGTAAGTTGAATATATATATCTTATTATTTATATTGAATAATAAGAATAATCCTTTTTATTTATTAGAAATTATTCTATTGTTTTCTCTTTAAATTATAATAATATTATTTAATAATAAATTATAAAGTATAATTATAAAGAAACTATTATATATATTCAGGGTTCTTTGTATCTATATAAGACTATATAATTTATAACGTGGTTTATCATCGAGTGGGCCATTTCAAAATACACTAAAACTAATATTTTTTTGATATTTTTATTTTAATAATCAATTATTATTTTGAATAAAAAAAAGAACAAAAATAATAATAAAAAATAAGCTTTTTATAAATCTAGTATCTATATAAAAACTCCTATTATTTTATATAAAAAAATGGAATTTGTTACGATTTTCATTATAAAATAAATATTTCTATAATAACTATTATAATTATTTGAATTTTCAATAAATAATTAGATTTTCATATTATTTATATAATTAAAATTTATAGTTTTAATTTTTAGAAAATTCTATCAATAAATAAAGAAAGTGTATAGTTATATATAAACGAGTTTTATATATAAAAATGATAGCCTACTTGATGATATAGTTCACTCGATAATAAACCACGTTAGACTTTTATTATAATTTTAGAGATTATAATAACTTATTATTAAATAATAGATATTAAAGGATTATTCTCAATAATATAAGAGAATATACCAAAAACTAATAGAATAGATATTGAATTATTCAGTTTAATAATGTTATTAATAGTTTTAATAATTATTTGAAATATAATTATTTTATTAATATTTAAATTATAAATCTTATTATAAATAATTTTATAAGATTTATATAATAATATATAAAATCTTTCAATACTATTAATAAAATAATATATTTTTATAAAAATTCTTTTTGTTCAAATAAATATTAATATAATATATTATTGAAATTCTTTTTTAAAAAATTAATATTAATATTATAAACAATATATTCTAGTAATTTAATATGTATATTAATCTAGTATTTAAAAAATTTATCCCATATATACTTTAGAAATATATCATTTAATTATTAAATAATTTAAAAATGTATAGTAATATTACTAATATATACATTCAGAATCATGTCCTTATTTTTATTAATAAAAATGTATTCTTTAGAAATCAGATTTATAAAATCTAATTTAGTTAATATATCTTTTAAGATATAATATCGTATTCTAATTAATTTTTTTAGGTTATATAAAGCTTTATTCTTTAGTTTATTAAATCCTTCTAATAAATATATATTCTATTCTTTATATAAACAATGACTTTAATTAGATATAATTATAAATAAAATAATATCTCTTTTTCTTTAATTAATTAAATTAATTTTTTGATTATAGATCTATTTAATATTTTGATTATTATCACGGGGCAGACAGGCAAGAATAGGGCTCTAGTAACTTTGCTCTAATATAGCAAAATTATATTGATTTAGATAATAGGTTCGAATTGAAGATTAAGATGTAGCTTGAAGAGCTATAATATAGAATCTTTCAAGTTGAAGATATATAGAATTTTTATAAGCGAGCTAGCCCGATTAGGCCCTAGCCCACTTGCACTCCGGCGTAAGTGCTCATTTCGGTCCTGTCCGATAGGATCAATATATCACGTAGTTCCACACCGTGACAGTTATTCTATTTTGAAAATAAATATATAAATTAATATATTTGTATATAATCTTATAATTTCAAATAAAATCTAATCATTTATTAAAAAGATATTCAAGAGCATTCTCTAATTTTAATATTTCAATGTTCATATTAAATCGATTTCTCATTAGATTATAGAATTTATTAGAATATTATAGACCTAGGACTTGAATTTAATAGAATATACCCAAATAGTTTTAATAGTTTAATCAATAAATATTAAAAACTATTTTTTGTTTTTAATCTCTATAGTTTTAAAGGGTCTAGTTATATTTAAACTGAATTTTTTGAATTTAAAGCTTATTTTAGGGATTTTCAAGGGTTCCTTGCTTATTTTCTAAATATAATTCATATACTTCTAAATCAGATTTAGCTTCTTCTAATTGAATATTTAATGATTTGATAATATAATTCTTATTTATATAGTCTAATCTCTTATAGATTAGATTTAAATCCATTTTATTTAATAATAAATTTAATTCTTGGATTGATTCTTAAGTTGTGAAATGATACGCTGGGACAGCTTTCCTTGGTCAGATGATACTCGGACGCAGTGATATGATCATCGTAGAAAGCAAATATGGCGGGACGAAGGTGTGTTAAATTCATATCACAATCTAGATCTGTCTTTGGATGAAGCCAAAGGATCATATAGTTAGGACATTCGACATAAAATTCGAGAAGGGGGCTGAAGGGTTTAAATATTGAAAAGCGTAGAAACGATATAGATTAATTGTTTGCACTGAAGCAACAAACGAAGCTGATTCATATATATATCAAACTTCACTCCCAAGTGAGATAAGGAAAGATCAGGGTTGCGAGGCCATCGTCATTCAGACTAAGTATTGCTCGCTTAAATCGCAAGGCTACCATCATAAAAGACTTTGGATTTGAAAAAATCTTCCGAACTTTCTTTTTCTCTCCAGAAACAATCAAAACCATTAAACACTCAACGTTGTTGATATTTCAAAATGACTTCTTCAAGAAGAGGTATAAATGATTATTTTGACGAAGAAGGTTCGCTTTCGAATTCTAATTCCCTGCCAGAAGATTTGCTTGAAGGAAATTTTTTCTATAGTTCTGACACCAGTGCATTGCTTGCAGTGACTGATCAAGAAGATGAATCTGGTAGCGCAATGAAGGTTATAGTTCCACAGACTGCACTCCAAAAACACGTCCCAGGCCCAAGACCTAAATTCCAAAAACAATTCCCAAGTCAAGGACTTGAATCACCCAAGGTTGCAAACGAGATGGATATGGCAGATGCAGAGAATCCACCAGAAGAGCCTGTTTCGAGAGTCTCAAACCCGCAGTACCAGCACCCGAGAACACTAAAAAAATCGGTGACAAAGCTTGGTGCGGTCCTTGTCAAAACAGAACCGGTAATGGTTTTGTGGGTCATTGGACAAGATCTTGTCCTTTTGCTGCTGAGAATGGTCTCATGGAAGCATGTGCTAGATGTGGTAGCCTTGACCACTGCGTTAGCTTCTGCCCTCGCCTTACCTGGAACGGAAAGAAGCCGGTGAAAATCAAGGACCTATACTTTTTCTTGGTCACTTCTCGTCAGGGTCTGCCACCAGCAATTTCTGAGGTAGATCCCCGCGTGATTGATCGAGAAAGATGGGAAAAAGAGGTCGAGTATCCACAGACTCCAGCGCTTGCAAGACATCGCAGAGAGGGAGTCTTAAATGGTACACTGCCCGGAAGACTCGATCTCAACCTTTGGAACGAATTGGACGTCAACACTGGTCTGAGTTTGGGTCTTCAAATTCATCCTGATCATGTCCCTGGTGGCCAGCATAGATGTTGCGATGCTGTATGGTACCATCCTTCGCAAACTCAAGAGAATACTGGCTCAACATCACAAGCCGAGCAGCCAAGCAGAAAAAGCAAAGCTGGCAAATATACTACAGACTCAGTTCTCCATGGTACAATGGGTGGCAGAATTGCCAAGATTCCACGTCGGGAAACTCAAGCTCGTGGTGGAGACCGTGGTGGTGAAGAAAGCGATCGCGGTGGAGGCTTTGGTCATGGAAGAGAAGCTGCACCACGAGGCAGTGGTAACTTCGATGGGTTTGATCAGACGCAGCGTCCACATCTTCCGTCCCTTTCCTCTCAAAAGAAGTTCGATTTCTTGCTGGGCGAGTTTGATCGGCAACAAACAAGAGAACGGCACAACATGCTGAACAGGTTTGAGGCAACGCAGAAGGAGAGACATAGCATATTTGTGAGCGAGATCATCGACCGCATACAGGGTACATTTGGTGAAGTTCGTGGTGCTACATCTGGACTGGATGCCGATTTAAGACGTGGTGAAAATCATGGCTTGGAATATCCTGGGCATCTACCATCACACAGTGGGAGTGATGCACCTGTCAATCGTCATCATCTCAGAAGAGGGTCGCTCACTCCAGAGCGTCTTACACACGGCTTGCAATCAGGGAATCAAGCACATGGACAAGATGCATATACTCTACCTGCTGGGACGCAATCTTTCGCATCTAGGCTACGAGATATACCGCACCAGAATCGCGAAAATCCAGGAGGTGCCCCAAACCAGCAGTGATCAAGATCACTTTATTTGTTAGTTTTATATGAATGACAAACTTTCTAACACACTTTTCGTTTTCAATGCATCTTCCGTGATATATGAAGCAAGCAGTGATTATCATGCCGTAAATGTTTTCATCAGTGTAAGCCTCTGTCCCGTTCTAAGAATCTTGTTCCTCTTGCTCTAAATTGTGAGTAATAGTGAATCTAGAGCCAGTTTCCTCTTATGCCGACATCCTATCCCAATCTCCCAGGAATCGAAAACACGACATTCAACTACACTCTTTCCATTGGAATTCATTGCGAAGATACTTTTCATCAAGACAAGCTTTGCACCTCACTATCTGCGGTCTAGAGATTGCCCAATACCCAGGGTTTCTACATAATTTTCACAAATGAATCATACAAACCATCGACCTTCAATCGAAATTCAACCTGAGACATCAATTCACAGCTGAGTCCTAGATTCGTAATACTGATCATTGCGCTTACTCGAGCAATACTACAGTGTCTCGATGACCAGAGCTACACAATGGGCGCTTCAAGCGTATAGGTCTGATTGGAGGTGGGAGTTAGCACACCAAGTTGAGATACGAGAGATGGAGATTATGCCGACGCAGGAATACCTGAGAACCACAGAATCAATCAATATTCAGCAAACACAACACCGTTGATGAAAATCGTGGCGCAGTTTCTGAGGCAACATAAGATAGGCTGGAAGCGACTCCGCAATGGGCTCCATGGATGGCATGACTAAAGCGGAAAGGATAGAGCAGAGAAAACAAAACGGGGGCAGGACTATTTGAGTTTGATGGGATTGCAGAAGATTATCAATTCGGGACAATGAGTAGAAAATGGAGAAGGGATGCTCCGCAATCTTCTCTTCTCATATGATAAAGGTCAGCGCGCTTCATTGTGTATGACACAATTCACAGATTTTATCTGGCAGCATAGATGTTCACAGAGTTGGCAGCACAGAACGGAGTCTAGAACCAGTTCCTTAAGGGTCATACCACACGATGATACTGAGATGGGTACATGGGCACCGTTGAACTAAGAGCCGGCAATCGCAGATCTTAAGGATGATTTGCTATCTTGTACAGTATTTCTAAAGACTTATGATATCAGGCTAACATGTTGTTCGTGATAGTCTCCTTAAATGACGACAACCTGGCCTCTACGGACTCAACTTACAAGCACATAGCAAGACTGTGTACAATGGAATGGGATGTAATCGATGATTAGATTCATCGTGACTGAATGGAGAAGGGGAAAGGGGAACGAATCTCTACAATGTGGACACATTTAACATAAAAAATGTTGGATATTGCGCATGTACGGACTGGTATTAGGCATTCGACTTGACTATTGTGGCACAAGCCCCTAATCACTTAGGAAAGAAAATACGGAAACATTCTGGGTTTACTGTAGCTTTTCTCAGACATGCTCTTGCGTAGGAGTATCTGTGAGGTCAAGTTGGGTGGCAATCTGCGAAAGGATCGGGGGTCCGTCTCCTCAGGTTAAGAGGTTTTCGTTACCGATATACGGCAGATACTGGTTTGGTCTGGAAAATGGGAAAAACGGGCTCATTCAAGCACAATAAGTGAACCCTGCCATTTTGAATATGAAGGGAGATTCAGTGCTGGAGCGTCGAGAAAGGATGCCTTGGCGGCAGAGGAATACAGCAATCAATGTATATCGAAGTTCCATAAGAATGAAAAACGAACAATTCGACTGGCAAGATGGAAATGAAGTGATATCTTCATAAGATGCAGCTTATTCAGTAAAATAATATTCCCAACTTCATGAAACACTGCATATACGTACGATATTCTCATCGCTCGGCCCGGAGTCTGTTGAAGAAAAGTGAGAGCACTAGAAGAACCATCAGCAGAGAAATTAATAGTGTGATCTATGTGACGATGCAAACTGGATATCTCAAATTATCATATCATTTTCTTCACGCTTCGTTTTGTTGTCGTTCATGTCTCAAGTGAGGTTCGGTAAACCAAGAAAGCGGGGAAGTGAGGAAAGAATTGAAAAGAGTAAGATTACAACCACTCACAGGCCATCACAACACGAGGCTCGATTACTATAGTATCACCTCGAGCAGTAAGTTGCCAAAAAACTTTGTTCAAGACTGTTACTGCTACCAGAGAATTAAACCAAGCAAAGGCGGAATTTCTTACCTTAAGTTCGATTCATGAGGTGGTCAAGAATCTCGACGTGCGGGAGAGATCTATGGAGCCTTTAGAAATCTCGGATGTTTCAAAAAGAGATCACAAATATCACTGACGACTAAGACATATTTTTTCGTACCCATCCGCGCTTAAGATACTCATGAACAGCTTTCAATATCAGGTAGTCAGCCAGGTATCACTGAATAGGGTATGATTCTCACAAGATTTGAAAGTATTTCTAGCATTGGCTAAATAATTTTTGAAAGCTTCAATTCAAACTAATGCTAGGATGAATAATAAATCAAGGAATCATAGGACCCCCTGTGATCACAAAATACATTTTTACCAGACGTCGATGTATTTTGCTGCTTCGCTTGACCAGGTCGATACTTCAAAGCTGTTATCGACCCATGGCGTACACTCTGATGGAAAGGATGAGAATTGAAGACCCCATGCGCAACTAGTCAAAGTACGTAGTACGTATCCATGAAATTACCAAGATTTTAACCCGAACAAAGTGATGTATTCAATTCTATCTCAGTAGAAACGCTTATCATACCTACTTTCTGTTGATGTGCGAAAAAAAGCCTCCACGAGCCTTAGTGAAAGGGAATCCACAAATTTTGTCGCGAACCGGGCTGATGGCAACCTCGATCAATTGGAAATCGTCATTTGGATTATATTTCGTTCACTGAGAGAGGCCAATTTGAGTAAGACTGTAGATTCTGAGATCACAATTGAATTACTCGAGTATTGTTTGAAGTGATGTTACTGGGCTTTACTGATGTCACCAGCTAGCTAATGCTGACCGCCTTCATGACTAATCACGAGCAACTCCATAATTGCACCTATACAGCCAGTAAACAGCTTGCATAATAACAAATGACACATCCCTTTTGTTACTGGCACGCCTTATCCTCATTTCCGCGATTTGTCCATCAAACTTTGTTGATACTGAACAGCACTCCCGTATCACTATTTCATTTGATATATCATTGACCAAAAACTTGTCAAGTTTCTCTTCCCTTAGAAATTCCACTTCTGATAAGTCTAAAAAGATTTCCATAGGACTTTTGTGCAAAATTGATGTTCGAGAAATCTCATCTTGGTTGAACAAATAGCGGGGTAGAGGCTGAACAACCTGCAGACATCGCTGCTATTGTAGTCAGCTTTTATTTAAGAGGTATATCACTGTTGCATCTACAGTAAAGGTACATGGCTTGTCTATCTCTTAACACACATTGTTGATCCACGCCTAAACAACCTGGACTTTCGCGAGGTGGCACTCGCCACTTCCTCTACCTTCATCCAGTCGCTCGATTTGTCCCTCCTTACAACCAATCCGTTCATGGTTTCCTAACTGCTGACTTACAAGCATAGTGTTAGACATTTCCCGGCTAAAATCCTTGTCAATATTGTCTACAGTACGAAGGCCCATAAACTAGAATTCAGCACGCATTGTCGTATAGTTGGGGGAGCTTTCCATGCTTGCCACTTTCATAAGAAAGCGTTCGATCTTGAATCTCGCCAAATTCCAAGGAGAATACACAAAAGGCTATTATTATGAGAATCGCTTGTTTACAGTTCGATCCTCAAGTAAGAACATCGTCATGTTATTCACAAGCATAGCTAATACCGTAGCATAGGTCGGAGATGTCGCTAATAACTTCACAAAGGCGGATGCAATACTCGCGAAAGCTGAACCAGAAGATCTCGATCTTTTAGTATTGCCTGAGATGGCCTTTTCTGGTAGTCATCGTATCCTAGATGTCTTCAATGACATGATCTTGCCGACATATGACTAACCATCATACAGGCTATAACTTTTCCTCTTTGGAACAAATCACTCCTTATCTTGAGCCGACTACTTCTGGTGTCACATCTTCATGGGCGCGTACGACAGCTCTCAAGTACAACTGTGTAGTTACAGTTGGTTATCCCGAGAAGGTTGATGATGCTTTGAGTAGATCATCAAACCCCGAATGTTATAATTCCACAGTTACGGTAGATAATGAGGGCAAGACTATCGCCAACTATCGAAAGTCTTTCCTATATTATACAGATGAAACTTGGGCTCATGAAGGATCTGGCTTTTACGATGGAAATATTAAGGGGCTCGGGACTGTGGCAATGGGTATCTGTAAGCATTTAGCATATCATTTTCGCTCAACCAGTCATACAAAAATTCAAGTAAACTCACTGATACTCATGATTTATAGGCATGGATTTGAATCCATACAAATTCGAAACTCCTTGGTCCACTTGTGAATTTGCTTGCCATGTGCTCCAAAAGAAAGCAAATCTTGTTATCTTGTCCATGGCTTGGCTTACAAGACAGGATCAATTGCCTTACGGTCTATTAGCAAGGGAACCTGATATGGATACAATCTCTTACTGGATTGCCAGACTGAAACCTATCATTGGAGCTAATAGCACTGAAGAAATCATTGTTGTTCTCGCCAATCGGTGCGGAACTGAAGGCGAAGCAACATATGCGGGAACCAGCACAGTCCTGGGGATCAAGGAAGGCGAAGTTAATGTCTACGGAATACTCGGCCGAGGTGAGGAAAGGCTTTTGATCGTCGATACTGACGAGCATCCCATAGCCAAAATAATTTCGGGCACAAAGTGAACCGAAATTTGATTTCGCCAACCATCAAACCAATTCCATAATTCAACGCTAGAAGTTGAATAAATAAAACGTGTTGTCGATGGCTTTCGAATAATACACTCAACAGCAGCTGAATTTACAAGTATTCCACGATCATAGTACTCAATGTGTCAAATGATATTGGAACTTCAATTGCCAATGTCAATTCATATCGATCCGAATTGT